GATTTATTAAGTAATCGCAAACGCGAAAAAGCTCCGTTTGTCACGTTTGCCGTTGCCATTGTTAAGAAAAAAAAAAGAAGCTAAAAACAGAGCAGCACCACCATTTATCCTCTGTATCGCCGTAAGAATTAAAGAATCATTTGCATTTTGGGTTTCCCATCTTCAATTTTATAACCTCCTTTAGAGTTTTCCCGCACTTTCCCAACACAAAGGAAGAATCTTTTTTCTTTACCACGAAAAAATGAGATGGGAGAGGGTCAGACAACAAAACCAACAAGTGGGTCTAAGTGATTCTACTTCCGGGTCAGGGAAGAGGTGGGGACACACATGTAACGCCGTTAAAGGAGGTAGATTTGTCTACGTATTCGGTGGTTTTGGTAGTGAGGGTTGCTTAACTAATCAAGTTCATGTCTTTGACGCTGGTGAGTTCTTGTAGTGGGTTTTACAAAAGTCTCAGTCTTTGTTTGATCTGTGTAACGATTATGTGTAAATCTTTTTTGTACGTTCGTGTGGTAGACCCCATTTACCTACTTATCTACTATACACTATTCTCTAAAAGTTATCTTCTTTTGTAGCTTATCTTGATCTTTGTCCTTTTTGTACGTATCCGTTGTTTCTTTCCTCGTTGTATTACGCTTTGGTTTATGTAGACTTTGGTGATTCTTGTTGAAGACTGATTATTTATTTGTTGGGATGTTATTGTGTTGATGTTGCTTACCTATAGCCTTCTTTTCAGAATGTTTTGTTGTTGGGGCGACTTTTGTTGCAGAAACGCAGATATGGAGTAAGCCGGTGATCAGTGGTTCGCCTCCTTCTCCGAGAGATAGTCACAGCTGTACAACGGTTGGGGATAACCTTTTTGTGTTTGGTGGTACTGATGGGAAAACTCACCTCAAGGATCTGCACGTGCTAGATACTTGTAAGCTCTTCCCATCTCTTCTTATTAACTGTTGATGATGTGAGGTTTGAGTCTAATTGCTTTGTGTGTGTGTGTGTGTGTGATAGCTTCACATACTTGGAAATGCGTGGATGCTAGAGGTGAAGGACCCGAGGCAAGAGAGGCTCATAGTGCGACGCTTGTTGGCAAACGCATTTTCATATTTGGCGGCTGTGGGAAAGCTTCTGGTTCAGATGATGAAGTCTTCTATAATGACCTTTACATACTCAACACAGGTAGAGCTTCTAGCTGCCTTTCCAGTTTCCTTACTATTTTTCTTCATATGCTACTGTTTTGTAGACGCATGTTTTGAAACTGGCTTTAATCCTGTTTTAGAGACTTTAATGTGGCAACGAGCTGTAACAGCTGGGAATCCACCCTCTGCACGAGATAGCCACACTAGCTCAATTTGGAAGAACAAAATCATAGTAGTAGGTGGTGAAGATTTGGATGACTATTATCTCTCCGATGTTCATATTCTTGATACAGGTCCAAAAATCATTATTGAATCACATAATCTTTTTATGCATGTGTGTGTGTGTATATGTCTTTTGATATTTTCTGGTTCTATATTTTTCAGAAACGTTTGTATGGAAGCAGATGAAAACATCGGGGCAGGTGTTAACACCTCGAGCTGGTCATGTCACTGTTGCACTTGAGAGGAACTTATTTGTATTTGGAGGGTTTACGGATTCTCAGAATCTTTATGATGATCTCTATGTGCTTGATGTGGGTATGTAACTTAGACCTCACGCCTTTAATTGCTTTATCTGTCTTCTGATATCAAAATAAATATTATTGTAGAAATGGGTGTATGGTCCAAGGTAGTTGCCATGGAAGAAGGGCCATCTGCTAGATTCTGTACTGGAGCAGTGTGTTTAAGTCCTTACAAGGCTGGTTCTTTTTTCTTTCTTGGTGGCTGCAATAAGAGTCTTGAGCCGTTGGATGACATCTACTACCTGCACACAGGTTTTGTTTCTACCTTTCACTTGGAAGGTTGCTTATTATTCTCCTAATCTTCTATGCTTATTGCCAACAGATGGTGGATACAATGCACGCCTTGATCAAACTCTAGGGAGGTTGTCTTTAAGGAAACAAATGAAGTTAAAATGCCAAGAGCAGAAACTAGCTGTGGCCGGAACCAGCACTAATCAAGGTGTGTTGTTAACACATAACTCTTATACGAGGAAGTTGCATTTACCATAAATGTATGGTTTTGTTGCAGGAAGAGAGAATCTCCCTTTGAGCATTGGCTCGATTGATCAGAGGAAAACAGTTTTTAACGCCAGGGTTACTGAAAACGTCCCGTTAGGTTACAGTATAGAAACAATCATTGATGGAAAGGTGCTTCGGGGTTTTTTGTTTTCAAACAGACACAGCTCAGTTCAAACGGTAGATCCAAGCGTTAGCAGTGGGTAAGTGTTAAGTTATAGTTTCTCTTTTAAGCGCATTTGTTCTAGAGCATGTTTGATTTTGTTGGTTGTTAGCAGGAAAAGGCCTGCTACGTCGGATCTTGATTGTGATCATAGAGAAAAGTCACAGAGAATTTTGAGCAAGGATGCAGCAGGTAGTAGCCAACAAGCTGGTCCAGTGGATCCTTCTGATGATGCTAACAAGAAGATTGCAGATTCAAATGATATGGACACACCTATGGTTGACACTGCCGATGCCAATGTAAACACTGCGAGACCACAGGAGGAAGAAACTGCTGCTGTAACCTCTGATGTGAAAGATCAAGATCCTTCTCAACTCAATATGGTATTAATGATTTTCTCCAGCTGTTTGGAGTGATGCTGTTTCTTACCAGAATTTATACTGAATATACTCTGCAGGACGCTGTGAACACAGAACCATCATCGGCTACTCTTGATCAGGCGAATGTAGAGCCATTGAGTAATACGTTAACAACAGACGTTGGTGCTGCTACTGAAGCTGGTCCTGGAGGTGATTCATCTCCACAAAAGCAAGGTTATTCAACAGATCTTTCTCTACTATTGGGTATAAAGTGTTAACTTATTACTTGTGTTGAACAGATGAGGAAACAGTTGTTACGGAAGATGTAGAGGCAACAGAAACTACATTAACTAGATGAATGATCTTTTTGGGGTGTACAGTAGTATCTGGTGATAGCATTTGGTCTAAAGTAGAAGAAAGTGGAGGATGAGTAGAAGAAGCTAACTCTTGTGTTAAGGTCTTTTGTATTTGTATTTTGAAGCTCTGCAATACCATCAGCTTTGCCTCTGTTGTTATTACATGTTGGTCTCAGTTTGCAAGCAAAAGCTATGCCTTAATGAAGTTTGTTTCTCTAAAAAAATCATAAAGTCTGATTTGGACAAGTAAACACACGCAAACAAACATAGTAGTTACTTCTCAAGAAACTTTTTTTTTTTTTTTTTTTTTTGTCACCAACTACTTTCATTCATAACTTAGTTTGGTGGGGGCATTAACTCAGCCTCACCCACCTCTTGATCCAACAACAACAACGATTGTTTTGCAAGCATATCTGCTTCGACATTCCTCAAACGAGGAATCCACAAAAACTCAACAACAAGAAACTCCTTAGACATTCTAACAATGTCTTCGTAGATACCATAGATCTCCAACTCCGGCTGCTCCCTGTTAATAGCCTGGATTAGTTGATTCGAGTCCGATTCAAAACGTACCTCCGTTACTCCTTCTCTTTGACAGTGTAACATTGCCTCCCGGAGCGCCAATCCTTCCGCAACAAGAACCGAGTAGACGGATCTACATCCTCTCTGGCCAATAATCTTCGATTCTTTGGTCTGCACCACCCAGCTAATTCCCGCTATCCTTTTGTTTGCTGACCACGCAGCATCTGATCTTGTAACAGTAGAGGTCTGCGCTGGTACCGCTTGCTGTTTAGCTCCGGGCCTGTTTTCTTTTGCGTTTTGCCCGACTTCCCATTCCTTGGCCGCACGAATTGCCTGTGACACAATCTCTGCTGGATCTCCAGCAATATTCTCAAAGATAGACCTATTTCTCGCCTTCCACAATGACCACAATATCCATGGCACCAGTGGCGTATGGATAATTCCCGTTGGAGGGAGACACTTTTGACCATGAATCTCATTCCAATCAGCTCTTAAATCTGTCAATCCGCTAACTTCAAAGCTTCTGCCTAAGGGGGCAAGACTCCACACCTGTCGGGCAAAAGAGCAATGAAACAATAGATGATTGATAGATTCTGAGGCTCCACATCGTTTACATTTCGGGTCAACATCAATATGGCGTTCCAGTAGCCGCTCTCCCACCGGCAATATGCCTTTCAAACATTTCCACGTAAACATCTTAATCTTAGGTGCCACTTTCAAATTCCACACTGTCTTTTGCCAACTAAATTCAGTAGTAGCTTCCTCGGCAAGAATCTCTTCCGTTACTTCCCGCATCGCTATATGATATCCCGTCTTAACCGAGTACTCACCCGTTTTTGTTCCTAGCCATTTCAGCGCATCAGGTGCGCCTCTGGAGCTCGGTTTGATGCCTATGATTTTCTCCTCCTCGTTTGGCAGGATCCTTTGTATCATCACTCTGTTCCATTCACCCGACTCTTCAATGATGAGGTCTTTCACCCTCATTGACGCTGTCTCTCTGGTCGCCGGCCCCAAGGGTCGAGTTGGCGTCATTAGACACAGCCAGGGGTCTTCCCAAATCTTAATAGAAGCACCATCCCCCACCACCCATCCTACACCTTTTACAAGTAGGTCGCGTCCCACGAGAATACTTTGCCACCCGTTAGATGAGGTGCTTGGGTTTTTGCAGGTTAATAAATTCCCCTCAGGGCAATACTTCGGAAGTAGAGTCCTCCCCAATAGACCATCCGGCAACTCTAACAACCGCCAACTTAGTTTGGCCAGGAAAGCATCATTGAATGCTTGGACGTCTCTCAGTCCGAGTCCACCATTGCTCTTGGATAGTGTCAGCTTTGGCCACGCTATCCATGCCATTTTCCTGGTCCCTTTGTTATCATCCCATAGAAACCGAGTTAACGCCGACTGAATACGCTTGCACAGAGAAGTCGGAAGCTTAAAACATGTCATGGAATATGATGGTAATTTACTTCGTTTTTGTTTCTGAAGTATTATTCAGCAGGATAACAACTGAAGTTCTTGAGCTGGCAATTAACGGGAAGTCTCTACTATGTATATTCTGTTTGACACTCTTTTCTAACTTGACATCGTTTCATGCAAGTTTTTGTATTTTAATATAGTATTTATTGAACAAATCATCATACAAGCTTTAAGATATATGTTTGGGCATTACATTTATTCAAAGTTTCAGGAGCAGTACATAGATCATGTGATACAAAGCAGGAAGTTTTGAGAAGAAGAAGAAGGGGGCACAAAAATGGATTTGGCACCCCTTTTACCATAACAAACTCTTGGCCTTGTGGATAAAAGCATCAACGAGGTAGAACCAATATCTACTCCAAGGAGAGTCAAAAGAGAGAGATGTGAATATTCCAAGAAGTATAGTCACATAAGCTGCAGCTAAACTCCAATAGAAAGATACCATGTCCACTATAGACTCATCAGCTTCTTGAAAGCTACTGCTGTCGCAGCTTGTGTTGATTGATTGCCCACAAAGAAGAGGATTACCTAAGTAGCTTTGAGCATCAAAGGTATTAAACTGTCTTCCTTGTGGAATGACTCCAAATAAGTTGTTGAAGGAGACATTGAAAACAGCTAGGCTGTTCAGTTCTGTTAGTTGTGATGGGATCCGGCCTTGTAACATGTTGAAGGAGAGATCAAGACTTTCCACATTCTTCAGACCTGAGAAGCTTTCTGGTATTAATCCTGATAACTTGTTGTGAGAAAGGTTAAGAGCTTGCAGTTCATAAAGATCTCCAAACTCTGCTGGGATATCACCACTCAACTCATTTTCTGAGAGATCCAATCCATACAATAATCCTAGATTTCCACCCATGTAGGCATCGTATCGGTGCTTTGTTGCAAATTGCATTTTAATCTGGATGCTTGGTATATCTCCTCTTCTAACCATATCAATATGTATACGAGATTTGAAATATTTGTCGTCTTCATCTACAAGAAAGCGAATACTAACCAACTTGGTTATATTGCCGTAATTATAATCCTGATCAAATACTGAATCCTCTTTCCTAAAAGCAAAAGATGTATTGCTGAAGCATGGAGGTATGGATCCGTTCAGACTGTTGTTGGCAAGATCAAGAAGTTGGATGTTTCTTAGACCACACAACTGTCGAGGAATATTGCCTGTTAAATTATTCCCCCTAAGAAGAAGAGAACATATGTATGGGTTGTTGAAGTGGGGAATATTACCAGATAATCTGTTGTTTCTCAGATCAAGTACAAAGACAGTACTCATCTCTGGAATAACCCCTGATAATTTATTGTCTTGAAGGAGTAATACTTCTGGACCTTCCAAAGAAGAAGGTATGTTCCCAGATAAGGTATTTGCGGAAAGGTCCAACAGATCAAGATTAGATCGGTTGCTGCTGAACAAAGAAATAGGTATTTCACCTTCCAATAAGTTGTTGGAAAGTAGTAGTGCGTTTAACAATCTAATTTCACCAACCCAACTTGGAATTTCACCCGTAAGACTGTTGTATGAAATGTCAAGCTCATACAACACTTCTATGTTCCGCAAACCTTCACCAATCTTTCCTGTAAATAGATTGTTATCCATAGACAGCTCCTCTACAAGTGTTAAGTTGAATGATTCTGGAAACACCTCTCCACTTAGTTTGTTATGTGAAAGTCTCAAGATTATCATGGAATAACAACCCATTAGTAAACTTCTTGGAAGCTTTCCATGAAAGTTGTTGTCAGATACGTCCAGATATTTAAGTCTTTCCATATTACCTAGAGAAGAAGGCAGATCTCCTTGAAAACCGTTACCAGCTAGTTTCATATACGTTAAATGAGGAAGTACCCACCCAATATCTTCAGGAAGATCTTGATTGAAGGCATTGGCTGACACATCTAGGAAATGCAGATTGTGAGCAGATTCTTGTAGCTGAAAGCTTGTAAACGAATTATTTTGTAGAAACAAAACTTCGAGTTTTGTATTGTTGACAAACAGCCAATGAGGAAAAGCTCCAGATATTTTATTGTCAGAAAGATCAATGCGACTCAAATCCTTTTGGGATAAGATAAAATAAGGAATCTTCACTAAGTTGCAAGATGGTAGTTCAATAACACTCAGTTGGAATTTTGGAATCCAAGAACCTTTATACTTTACTTGAAGTGATTTGGATTTCGAATTAAGTTTGAAAACCCTCAGCTCTGAGAGGTTGGCAAGCGATCCAACGGAAAATAAGCCTTCAAAGTTGTTATCTAACAATGATAAGTACCTGAGGGATCCAAGGTTACCGAGAGTAGATGGCAGTTTCCCACTCAATTGGTTTGATGAGAGATCAAGAACTCGAAGTCCGGTTAAGCCAGTTAAGCATAAAGGAAACGGACCTACAATTTTGTTTAGACTGAGATCAAGCTCTTGCAAGTTCTTCATTTCGCAAATCCCTGTGATATGATCAAATACAAAATTTACATGCACATGAGTAAACGTTTATTCACCACCAATTTTTACTGCAACATATATAGAATATGTTTAGACTTGCCTTGCCATCCCATTGATGCAGAAAATGCATTACCACTTAGATCCAGAGCTGTCAGCTTCCTCAGGGAAGGTGAGACTGTCACAAGAAAAAATCACGCAAAGGAAATTAGCTTTTTGCCTATGAACATGATGATCTCAAGAAAATATGTTAACATGGACAATAGTTTTTTGAGCTACCTCGTATGGGTATGGAGCCATCAAAATGGTTTTGACTCAGATCCAGCAGTTCCAAATTTTCCAAATCTTTAATTTCTGAAAGGTGTCCAAAATAAAACAAGAATCCTACAAATTAACAAAATACATATGTGGTGAAGCATCTAGGGTGAGCACCTAGGGTGAGCACCTACGACAGGGAGAGTCAGAGACCAGAAGCTAGAAGAGGAATATCTGGTGAAGTAGCTCCAGAGGTCCAAAGATCAAGGGCCTCAAAAGCAGAGGAAAGAGGGGCTTTCCACTTTACGTCTGAACGTTCCAACAAGGAATTTGGGAGAAGAGAAGGCGGTTATAATAGGGAACATTCCCAGCAGAGAGGATACAAAAAACAAGCGAGCACTTGGCAAGAGAAAAGTGACTATCGACGTTCGACACAATATAGGGCACGGTCCAGGAATGATTTGGACAGGGTTGGCCGATCTGCTAGTGATCTATCGTATAGAAGGAACCTACCTGCACCGCCAGAGAGAACTTATTATCGAGAAGTCCAAAGAAAATATGGAGATAACAAAGACACGGGATCTAGTGCCCCTAAGGATCACGGTCTTGAAGAAAACAGGGGGATTCCCCAAGGACAGGAGATATCGGAGAATATTCCACAACAAACATTAATTGCTGCTAGAGAGGAAGTTCGAGATGCGATGTTGGTGTATACTAAATGTGCTGACCCTACGGAGAGGGAGGCCAGAGAAGAGAGAATGAGGCAAGCGGAAGAGTGTGGCGAAATGGAGGAATCTGCTATCCAGGTAGCTCGATATGCGATGACCACAAATACTGAGCTCCATCCGATTGTAGCAGATCATGTTACACCAGAGAGAACCCCGGTCTCTCAACGGTTGGGTGTAATTGAGAGACAGCTGGGTTCAACGACAGAACCAGGATTAGAAGCTCGAAACTCAACCACTAAGGAACGCATTCCAGCTACGCTAAGATTAGGTGAAAGATCAAAGTCGCCCACAAGCCAAGAGAGGATACCTGTGGCTTTCAGGTTAGGACCGACTACTGAGGAACAAGAGGTTGCTGGGGAGAAGGCTGAAATTGTTAAACGTAAACCGGGAAGACCACCGGGCAGGAGGAAGGTGAATGCAAGTCCTTTAGCATTAAAGAGCATGGGGACTAAGAGGAGAAAGGTTCAGTCATCAAAGCCGCCACGATGTAGAAAGAAGATTAGTACAGATGAGGCTCTAATCGAACCAAAACGAGTAACAGGGAAGAAAAGAGGTGAAACGTCGAAGCAGGGGGGTAATGGAGGAAACTCCCAATCTTCTGACAACGTACCACTCAATACCTTGATCCCCAAGTCTATTCGAAGAAAGCCGGATTTTCGCGTTCCGGCCGCTCCGGCTCCTTAGTAATGGGAAGCTGGAACTGTCAAGGGTTGGGAAATCCCCGGACAGTTCGACGTCTCAAGGAAATTAAGAAGAGTTATGATCCTGGTATTATGTTCCTTAGTGAGACTAAAAATCCCAATGCAGTTGTGCTCCAGAAATGTGACCAGCTAGGTTACGAAGAGCACTTTTTGGTGCCCCCAACGGGACATGGGGCGGGGGGTCTGGCGTTGTTTTGGAAGCAGGAAATCAAGCTCTCAATTTTGTCTTCTAATTCCCATGTAATTGAGACAAAAATTGAATATGAAGGAAAGGCATTTTATGCAAGCTTTGTTTATGGCAGTACGGACAAAAAACAGAGAAACTTTCTCTGGGAGGAGTTGCTTGTATCCGCTGAAATCAGAGATGCTCCATGGTTCTTAACAGGTGATCTTAACGATCTGTTAAGCAATGAGGATAAGGTGGGAGGCCCGGAGAGAGCGGAGGGCACCTTTAATGATCTACGGACATTCTTTTCAGAAGGGGACCTTTACGATCTCCATCACTCAGGGGACCCGCTATCATGGAGAGGGCAACGGGGAACTCACCTTGTGCGGTGTAGACTAGATAGAGCTGTTGCGAATAGCTTGTGGGCAGAAGCATACCCTACTGCAAGATGCCAGTACTTGGAGTATGAAGGATCGGATCATAAGCCACTGCTATCTTTTTTGGACCCTACGGTTATGAAGAGGAAAAGATTGTTTAGGTATGACCGACGACTTAATGAAAACGAAGAAGCCAAGAGAATTATCAGGGATTCGTGGAAGGCGGATGAAGAATCCCTGGTCTGTGAGAGATTAGCCTCCACAAGGAGAGCTATATCGGAGTGGAACAGAAATAAACAACAAAACAGCAGACAACTCATTGAGCAACTGAAAAGGGAATTGGAGGAAGCGCTCACAAGTCAAGCGAATGATATATTGCTCATCCATGGTATTGAAGCTCGGCTGGACGAAGCCTACATAGCAGAGGAAGCTTTTTGGAAGCAGCGGAGTCGTTTGCTTTGGCTCAACCTTGGAGATAGAAATACTGGTTTCTTCCATGCTACCACTAAAAACCGTAAGAGAGCCAATGCGTTCACGGTATTGGAGGATATTGATGGCAATATGGTCTATAAAGAGGATGAGATAGCGACGACAGTGGAGAAATACTTCACAGAATTGTACACTTCGGAGCAAGGAGATAGAGGTGATACAATTAGCTATGCACTAAGGCCAGTGGTTACACAGGAGGACAATGACTCATTGGTTGAAATCCCCTCAGCGAGTGAGATTAAGAAGGCGATGTTTGCGATCAATGGTGAGAAAGCCCCAGGGCCTGATGGCTTTTCGGCTAGCTTTTATCAAACCCATTGGAGTGAAATTGGACCAGATTTGGTCGAGGAGATTCAGAATGCGTTTAGGAATGGCAAGCTTCCTAACGGGGTGAATGATACCCATGTCTGTCTTATCCCAAAAATCAAAAGCCCTCAGCGGATCTCGGAGTATCGACCAATTGCATTATGTAATGTGTATTATAAGGTCTACTCAAAGATTCTTCAGTTCCGCCTACAACCCCTACTGGACAAGATCATCTCCGAGAACCAATCTGCGTTCGTCCCGGGAAGAGCGATTAGCGACAATGTTCTCATCACCCATGAGGTACTTCACACGTTAAAGACCTCGGAAGCAGAAAAAAGGGTAGCAATGGCGGTGAAGACGGACATGAGCAAAGCATATGATAGGCTTGAATGGAACTTTATTGCTGCGGTTCTAGAGAGACTGGGATTCCATCACATCTGGATTGGAATGATCATGCAGTGCATCTCAACAGTTACATATTCCTTCCTCATTAACGGCTCGCCTAGAGGTTTGGTTATACCGAGCAGAGGGATTCGCCAAGGCGACCCCCTCTCACCCTACATATTTATTCTATGTAGTGAAGTGCTCTCGGGTCTTTGTAACAGAGCGCAGGAGGAGGGTATCATTCAGGGTATTAAGGTGGCTAGGGGGAGTCCCCAAATAAACCACCTATTGTTTGCGGATGACACGATGTTCTTTCTCCAAGCAAGTAAAGAATCTGCAGTGGCTCTCAAAGCAATCTTCGAAAGATACGAGGCAGCCTCGGGGCAAGTTATTAACAAGGAGAAATCAGCCATTACTTTTTCCAGAAGAACCCCAGCAGTGTTTAAGCGAATGATCCAAGATGAGCTTCAGATTCATAAAGAAGGGGGCGTAGGCAAGTATCTTGGACTACCGGAACATTTTGGGAGGAGAATAAAGGATCTTTTTTCATCCATCGTTGATAGAGTCAAGCAGAAAGCAAAGGGATGGTCCAATAGATATTTGTCTGCGGCTGGGAAACTTGTAATGCTACAGAGTGTGTTGTCACCGATACCATCATATTCCATGACATGTTTTAAGCTTCCGACTTCTCTGTGCAAGCGTATTCAGTCGGCGTTAACTCGGTTTCTATGGGATGATAACAAAGGGACCAGGAAAATGGCATGGATAGCGTGGCCAAAGCTGACACTATCCAAGAGCAATGGTGGACTCGGACTGAGAGACGTCCAAGCATTCAATGATGCTTTCCTGGCCAAACTAAGTTGGCGGTTGTTAGAGTTGCCGGATGGTCTATTGGGGAGGACTCTACTTCCGAAGTATTGCCCTGAGGGGAATTTATTAACCTGCAAAAACCCAAGCACCTCATCTAACGGGTGGCAAAGTATTCTCGTGGGACGCGACCTACTTGTAAAAGGTGTAGGATGGGTGGTGGGGGATGGTGCTTCTATTAAGATTTGGGAAGACCCCTGGCTGTGTCTAATGACGCCAACTCGACCCTTGGGGCCGGCGACCAGAGAGACAGCGTCAATGAGGGTGAAAGACCTCATCATTGAAGAGTCGGGTGAATGGAACAGAGTGATGATACAAAGGATCCTGCCAAACGAGGAGGAGAAAATCATAGGCATCAAACCGAGCTCCAGAGGCGCACCTGATGCGCTGAAATGGCTAGGAACAAAAACGGGTGAGTACTCGGTTAAGACGGGATATCATATAGCGATGCGGGAAGTAACGGAAGAGATTCTTGCCGAGGAAGCTACTACTGAATTTAGTTGGCAAAAGACAGTGTGGAATTTGAAAGTGGCACCTAAGATTAAGATGTTTACGTGGAAATGTTTGAAAGGCATATTGCCGGTGGGAGAGCGGCTACTGGAACGCCATATTGATGTTGACCCGAAATGTAAACGATGTGGAGCCTCAGAATCTATCAATCATCTATTGTTTCATTGCTCTTTTGCCCGACAGGTGTGGAGTCTTGCCCCCTTAGGCAGAAGCTTTGAAGTTAGCGGATTGACAGATTTAAGAGCTGATTGGAATGAGATTCATGGTCAAAAGTGTCTCCCTCCAACGGGAATTATCCATACGCCACTGGTGCCATGGATATTGTGGTCATTGTGGAAGGCGAGAAATAGGTCTATCTTTGAGAATATTGCTGGAGATCCAGCAGAGATTGTGTCACAGGCAATTCGTGCGGCCAAGGAATGGGAAGTCGGGCAAAACGCAAAAGAAAACAGGCCCGGAGCTAAACAGCAAGCGGTACCAGCGCAGACCTCTACTGTTACAAGATCAGATGCTGCGTGGTCAGCAAACAAAAGGATAGCGGGAATTAGCTGGGTGGTGCAGACCAAAGAATCGAAGATTATTGGCCAGAGAGGATGTAGATCCGTCTACTCGGTTCTTGTTGCGGAAGGATTGGCGCTCCGGGAGGCAATGTTACACTGTCAAAGAGAAGGAGTAACGGAGGTACGTTTTGAATCGGACTCGAATCAACTAA